TCCTCCTGGTTTAGGTTCATTTGGTTTATCATCCATTTTTTTCCTACTTTGCCAATACAGACAGCACATTTCATTACATTATGCTCTGCTCTCCTACATCTCCAATGTATTCTGGAGTTTCACTTTAACACTTTTTCATTCTTATCTGCCTTTGCTGATTGTCCTCCCATCGCCCCAGCTCTTCTCCTCACTTGTTCAGTGGTATGCGAGAACACGTCATATCGGATGTTTCCGTTATTCAGATGTTTAGTTTCTACCGAAACGCCTCAGCTCCTCCCAGAGCAGAGGAATTGCTTGTAAAACCATGTCTGGGTTGAATAAATCACAGCAGACGTAGGACAAGAGCAGACCTGACAGGTGTTTAGTTGCAGTGCGTGTATTTATGACGCATATGTAGTCGCGAGTAGAGGGTTTCACATGTTGGTTTGTCTGTGCTGTAGTCATCTCTGGCCCTTGAACTCCCACTGCCCTTAGTCTCCCCTTCCTCACTGGATCAATTCCTTTCCTCTCTTTAATTGGCTGTCTTGTTATTGAACATTTCTGTCTGGTCCTTTTCTTTTTCCTCTTTGTTCTCTGTCTCTCTCTCTCTCTCTTTGCGGTTGCTCTCTGTTTCACCTATTTTCATGTGATGAATGGGACTGGGGCTCCTGCAAGGCTGCTGGTACTGAACCAGATCAGCCTGTAGTGATTGGTTAATCCTGTGAGGAAATGTGGGTCACTAGTGTCTATTTTTAGTCATACCGGCACAGGGAAAGCCCAGGTACAGTAGTAAGAGTTCAACAAATTTCATTAGTATTGAACAGAGTGAGTGTAACATGCAGGAGGGCATAATCCTCTGAAAATGAGCACAGTAGATATTAGAAAAAAAGGTAATCCTCACAGCAATTTTAATTCATATTAAATTATTTGATCACAAATGCTTGTTAATAGGCAACTATTGAAGTCATTTTTCACATTCCTTTGTTCTGTTATATGTTGTATGTGATAGTAAAGTTATATATCTTTGGGTTTTGGACTGTTGCTGAAATTATGGTGGGACATTTTCACTTTGGACTAAACAATTAAATGAAGAAATAGTTGCCTCAAACTAAGAGTTACCGTAGCTGAGAAGATTGATACCACTCTCATGTCTGTCCATTAAGTATTGAGCTAGAGCCAGGATTAGTTTAACAGAGCCCAAAGACTGGAAACAGGGGCAAACAGCTCATCCTATTAGCACCTCTAAAGCTCACTAACGAACACGTTACATCCTGTTTTGTTTCATACACTTCAAAACTGAAGTGTAAAAATGATGAGTTAGGGTCTTATGGGGAATTATATGCGGGGCTGTTTCTTGGCTGCCGGTTGCCTGGCAACCTCCCAGTGACATGACTCCAGGATGAGGAACAAGATATATATATAATGTGTTAATTAGTAAATTTTAGAAGTGCTTCGTTGGATTTTAACACCTGAAAGTGCCAGGCTTGCTGTTTCCAGTCTTTTTATGCTCGCTCTTTATGCTAAGCTAATCATCTATAGCTTCAAATTTAGTTAGTTGTGTGTTTGATGTTAGTAGAGACATTCAAATGTTTTCTTTTGACACATCTTATGTGTGTGAAACCAGATAATGGTTATTTAATTAAAATTTAATTAAAATTACTATCATAGAACACCAGAAATATTCACATATGAGAAGCTGATATCAGTGTATTTTTGCCCTTTTTGCTAAAAGAAATGACATCCATATTATCAAAATAGATCAACGAACCGTCGAGCAATGCTGAGCATGTTGTGCAAAAATGTTGATAGAGTTCTTAAAAGAGTCGGTGTGTGATTCAGAGGTATGAAACAAGGGTGATGAGTGTAAGCATGAGAAGCAGTGATTCATGTCCCCCCTGGGGGTTCTCGAGGAACACTGCGGTCAGAGAGACACTCTTCCCTACAACTAATGCCTATTGATTTACTTTCTCACACACACACACA